TGACATATAGTTAATAAGATTCAAATCAATATTAATGCTAACCAAATAAAAAATCAATTCAACACTAAGAATGCCAAAGATGAATCTACGAACTCACTTTGGATTCGTCTCTGACTCCTATTTATTTTTTGGTTAATGGGATAATGACATTTATAAACTCGATTTTCTCTTTAGCTATGCAGTCAAAAATAATCTCAAATTCGTCTCTGACTCCTAATTTTTTTTGGTTAATGAGACAATTAATGACATTTATAAACTCCATTTTCTCTTTAGCCATGCAGTTGAAAATAATCTCTTGATATTTTTGAAACAATTAGTCCATCAATTTGGGACCAAGTTGGCTCACAAACAAAGGCTCAGCCACAACTCTCATGCACCTTGACACATTGTAAGTACCATTATTAATAATATTCTCATTATTATTAGAAGCATTATTCCAATGGACTCTTGTAACTTCCACTTCTGTTGGTGATGGTGTATATTGAGGAATGTTGAATGAATCCACATTCTCTTCTTCTATCAATCCCCGCGGTAATTTACATTTAAATTTAGAATATAAATGGTATATATATCGCAACTAAAGTCGTAACTTAGTAGTCAATGAAGTAAGTTGAGAATCATAAAATTTTAGGCGAAATAAAAAATACTAGATGATTTCATTTCATTTTTCTAGCCTTGGTGAACAGAGTTACCCAGAGTACCTAATGATTATAAGAAGTAACAAATAACCCTATAATTAATCGAGTTATGCAAAAATTGGTCTGGACACTACAATTATTTCATATATCAGTCAAATTTAATCGATGTAGCATATTATAACTACTTTTTAAATTAAGGATATATTAGATTTTGGTATGAATAGTTATTTGTTACTGTTGTTTAAAGACATAATTAAAACGGATAAAAGCATGTTCTTTCTAATTTAAATAAGCATTTAGATAAGATCATGAGATGGTAATACACTTCAATATGGTTAAAAGCATGCAATGTCATATTTTTGAATTTCACCACCACCTTTTTTTTTTTTTGGTAAAAAAAATTTTCGGTCCAAAGACCCTTTTGTTAAATATTGAAGTCCAAACAAATAATAAAATGGCCCAAGCTAAGGCCCAAAACATTAAACACAAAAGATGCCTCTAGGTTCCTAACTCTTAGGTGACTACTTAGTACTCTTTTCTTCTGCCACCTTATACGTTATCAAAAAGAATTTTCACATATTTGATCGTGAAAAAGAATCAGGTCACACACACGTAAGGAGCGTAGTGTGTAAAAGACCGCAATACATAGTTTAACTTCCATATATCGATAAAGTCTTTTTTCAAGTTATGTTTCGGACTCTTAAAGAATATAGTCTTGTGTCGAGTTATATTCAAAAGCTATGTATTTTTTGAGGATCTAACATGTATGAGCCTAGAAACGGATTCAAAATTTGAAGTTTATGAGTTTCTATGACGTACTAGGCTCCAAGTTGATATACAATAAAATTAGATTGACAATCAAACATTTACAAATATTTATTGGATAGTTTAACACATATACACGATATGAACAAAATCTATTGAATTCTTGTGAATCCATGTGTTACTCCCTAAATCTACCTACCTTGAGTACAACAAGATTGTTGTATGGTCCGAGCAATATAAACTACAAGTAACTATTTCACAATAAGTTAAGAATCTAAATTCTATATATAGTGATCATGACACGATGTAAACGAGATTAATTTACAACATCTAATAATTTAAAAGGCAACTATATATATGCATGTGATTTTAATTTATACAACATGAACATTAGTTAGTATTTAATATTCCATGCAATATTAATGAACAGTATAATATAGTGTAATTTGTACATTATATTGAACTTTATTCAATACTGGGAAATTTAGCCGCGCTACGTGCGGTGTGAAAAAATTATTAAATTTATAATTCTTTTTATAAAATTAAAATATTAAAATGTGTTAAAGGTTCTTTTCGAACTTCAAATCGAAATAAATGAGACTAAAAAATTTTTACACTTCAATTTGTAAGTTAGATTTTTTTAATTTTTTTTTTTGTAATTTTGATTTGATTCTTGAAATATTGATTTTATCTGAAAGAAAATAATAAGCAAAAAGACTCTTTAAAATTTATGACTTTATTATTCATTTGAATGCATTTTTTATAGGGTTATGACGTGGTAAATGAAGGAAAATATATATTTACAGGATAAATAAAATAAAGATCTGTAAGGATTAGCTTAAAGTTTGCTTCCACTAAAATCAATTTATTTTTCTGATATAAATGCATAAAATGTAGAACTAAATGAAAATTAATATAAAAATAATTGATCTATCAAGAAAAAATGAGATTATTAGAATTTTCATTCTAGCCTCCTACAGATTTTTCTTTATAATATTTACCTTTTAAAATTTATAATATTACATTTATCTTTCTTATTTTAATTATTTTAACAATTCTTTTGACCTAGTTAATATAAATATAAATATAAATTATTATTATCCCATTTATTTGTTTGGATAAATCTAACTCAAAAATCTCGATTAAAGAATCTTCTAAGTAGCATCACACATATAAATAGAATTTTCACTCTAGACTCCTAGATATTTCAATGAAATATTTGATGAAGTAATAAATGAACAATCTTTAATCTCCATACGAAAAGTATTATTATAACCCTTTTTAGCAAGTGTTCTAATTTCAACCTATTACATTAGGTGGTTTTATTGTGGGAAGAAAATAATGCTTTCAGTTGTTCATCACTTTTTTTTTCTTTTGCTAACCATCAAAGACAAAATTATTAGACTATTTACCATAATAATGCATTTATAATTTTTTAAAGGCCTTAATAAATAATACCGCCGAATTTTGAGGAAAATGTGAGTTATGGAGATATCTTTTTAAAATAATATAATTGCAAAAAAAGTCAAGAAAAGGATGGGGGGAAGTTTAATCATAGCAAAGTGTCACATTACTTTATTTATACATAACTTTATTATATATAGAGAGATTATACAAATATTAATGTTTAATTTACGTATTTTTTGTGATTCTGACATCTTCTATGAATTTTTTTAAAACATTATATGAAAAAAAAAACATTTCAACTTAAATACATAATGACTGAATTAATTATGTATGTGAATTTATTATGAAAAAACAGAAAGAGAAAAAAAATTATAAACAAGAAAAGAACATGATGTAATATTTTGGGAATGTAAACTTGATATATAACCGTCTTTGTGTTTTCTCTTTATTTTTTAGTATAAATTGGCAACATTTATGTTTGATAATGTTGATATATTTTCTCATTTTGATAGAAAAAAATAAAATAAAAAAAGTTATAAAATGAAATTGGAAATAATGAAATGGAAATTCTTTGTTAGCTCTCCTCTTCTTCATTTAATTTAAAATATTTACAAACATAATTACAATGTGTCAACAATCATTTTAATCTCTAATTAAATTGAAAATTAATGTATATTAATGACTATGCATTTTATTTTTCTTTCATACTCATTTGCTATCACTTATCTCCCTTCAAATTTGTTATTCGTGTGCCATCATAATGTCATTGTATGTTATCACAATTTTTTTGTTTTCTCTCTATATATACAGTAAAGGAGATTCCCAAGTTGTTCTCAAGAGTTAAATTAGTTTAAACATATTTTCCATATTGATAATAATTAGTAAATAGTAATTGTTTCAATAAAATTAAAATAAATGAGATAAGGTAATATCATAAATCACAAAAACAAGAGAGTATTATGAGACAAACATGAACATAGATCTTTGAAATTACTCAAAGAAAAAATGTAAAAAAAAAAAAAGAATAAATAAGTACACATTCATTGTTAGGTACGAACCTCTCCTTTAGAATAACCTGATAAAGTAAAAATAAAAGAGCAAAATCTAAATTTAAGAAATAAGAAATTAGGAGTATAAACAAATTGCACAGTACAAGTATAAAGAACAAAGGTGTAACCATCTAGAAATGAAAAGATAACCCAGTTAAGAAAAAAAATCCAAAATTATATTGAGATCTTTATTTTTCACTTGCCTTTAACTTTATATAGCAATATATATATTTTTTCCCACCAATAATGTGTATCCTGCATTAACAACAAAAAAGAACAAATCAACAACCAAAAGAAAAAGAAAAAGAAATTATTTTTTATACTAGATATAAAAAAGTAAAAATGAGATTATGTAGAATGATATATTTTCATCCATTGATATATAAGTAAGAAAAAGAAGGATGTCCTTTGGACTTTCATCATTGGAAGGTGAACGGGTGAGTTAATTGGCAGTTACTTATTTTTTTAATTCAACAGTTACTTAATTTTTTTAATGACTTTAAAGGTTGGTAAAAATTTAATTTAAATAAAATATTTTAGAGAGATGAGAGAGAAAAAACCAAAAAATCATAAAAAATTAAAATAAATGTTATTTCTGATCTATGAAGTGTGCCACATCAGCAGCCTTATGTTCTTGCTTTATAGTAATATATAGATTGGTCCATTGATCTATTAATACGACACAAAAATATTATTTGACGTATTAGAACTTATGGAACGCTGGAAAATGAAATCATACATCTTTGGTAAAGAATGATATATCCTCATCAAAGTAGCATTTATGAGCGTAATTCAAATTGATCGAGTATTATAATAACAAATATCAAACATTAAATGAGAAATAAGCAACGAAACTTTTTTCGAATGAATTAATAACTAAGACATGAAGTATTATTTTCTTTGGTACATAACTTTTTAGAGAGACAGAAAAAAAACACCACTAGTACACAAGACAACATAAATTAATTAGCACTTGGACCAGTACATATTGAAGTACAACAAAGTAAAAATAAAAAGAAAATGGGTGGCCAGGCGAATCCCAAATTTAAAGTTGAAAATAACTTTATTATATATATATTACTTGAATTGATGAATCAACTGGACTCGCTTTAGATTCACCTTCAACAATAAGTGCAAGCCCTTAGTTGTTTCTTGTCATGGAGACAGTGACATTTATAAACTCGGTTTTCTCTTTAGACATGCAATCGGAAACAATCTCTTCATATTTTTGGAAGACTAAATCCATCAATTTTGGATCAAATTGGCTCACAAGCAAAGGCTCAGCCACAGCTCTTATGGCCCTTGATAAATTGTAACCACCATTATTATAAATATTCTCATTATTAGTATTAGAAGCATAATTCCAATGGACTCTTGTAGTTTCCAATTTATTAATAGTGAATGAACCTTCTTTATCAACTAAGTACTTCACTTCTGCTGGTGATGCTGTATAATTAGGAATGTTGAATGAGTCCACTTTCTCTTCTTCTATTAATCCCTGCATTAATAGATTTATAGAGGTTACAAAATCGATACTATATATTTTTGGTTCATATTATCTGTCTTTTGAAATTTTTGTATCACGTTTAAGAATGATATTCAATAATTTTAATTTTAAGAATATTTGTCAACTATCATTTATCTATCTTATATTATGTTCATTTATTCAGAAATATATTTTTGGCCTATTTATCGATTGAATTAGGGTTTGGGCTCTTATTGACAGACTTAAGAATAAATGGCTTTTATATTTTTCTAAAATTTACATGTTAAATATTTTAAAACAAATTCAAATTAACAACTAATTCAGTACTATCCTTTTCATATCTTTGTGCTTTTGTTTTCATTTTTCTTTTAATTAAATATAGAGTTTATGTGAACATAATCTATCCTTATATTAGTAGTTCATCTATCACTATGCCCTTTATTTCATTTTACATAATAATATCATTTTTAAATTTAAGTAAAATATACTCTTTTTGTGTAAATAATTTCATCATTATATCAGCTCGGGTTTTTATGCTATAACAAATAATATATCTTATTTTTAATTATTTTTTAGTTCATGTATCATGCTTAATCATCAAATACTGTCACCTAAAATAAAAGCAGATAAAAAATTAATCATCAAAGAATTTACCTCAATAACCAATTCATTAAGGGCAATTCCTAGAAGCTCCCAAATATAACAACCTTCTTTGCTAGAAGGATCTTCACTTTCTCTTCCTAAAAATGTTAATACCATTTTTCCACCTTTCATCAATTCCTCTGAACGATATTTCAGAAAATTTGAAAAATCATTTTCATATTGTTTGTAGTATGCTTTTATAACACTTGGTGGACTTGTACTTGACATGTAAATATTCCCCTTGTTCTTCTCAATGAAATTAGGAACCTGATATATAGATAAAAGCAAAAAAAAATAAGTTAGAAGAATATACAACAACAATAATAGCATATTCAGTGAAAGACTGAAATCCCACTAAGTGGGGTCTGGGAGGGTAAAATGTACGCAAACTTAATCACTATCTTGTGAAGGTAGAGAGGTTAATTATTTCCGAAATAGAAGAATATAATAATTTAAAAAATAAATAATTAATGCTAAGAATAAAATATAGAGAAAAAAACCGTTTCGCTCTTGATACGATAAAATTCATTATTAGTAAAAGCGAATATATTTTTTAATATAGTTGACAAGTAAAAGTGAACGGAATAGGTAGTAAACATACCTGAGATAGCCAATGGACACTATAAGAGGAGTGAACAAAATGCAAACTTTTTGAAGAAAAAAGTCTAGTATAAAATGAACCAGACACTCCACTAAAAAAGCATGGACCAAATCCTTCTCCAAATTGCTTTCTCAAATCATGTTCAAATTCTCCCAATGATTGAAAAATAGTGTTAAAATCATTGCTAGGAAGATCATTGAAGAGATAATGAAATTCTGGTGATTGAAATCCGTGCTTTTTTCGTTCTTTCTCGATGGTTTTAGTAAGCTCTGATACCACCAAGAAAGTGTTCGCTCCAGAGGAACAACCCAAATCAGCAATGCATAAGTTTTTTGGGAGAAGGCTGCAGTAAAGATCACGTATGGCTTGTTCTATTATTGGCTTTGTCATGAGAATGGCCTTTCTCTGTTCATAAAAAAAAAATATTATTATAAGTTATGTTGCATGAAATTTTAATTAAGCGATACAATATAATTATCGGATGTATGCTGGATCCTTCAAAAGTCATGTACTTTTTTAGATTTCAGCACATGTACGACTAGAGATGAATCTAGAATTTGAATTTTATGAATTCCTACCGTACTCTGAAGTTAATACACATTTAGGGGATCTAGACCAAAACTATTGATTCCTATGAACCTGCATGTTACTCGATTCGCTCTTGAGTGTGATCAAATAGAATCGACTACAAATAACTAAATAAGAATATACTATGATGTAAACAAGATTTATTACGCCCTCAAATTACTTAAAAGATAATTACACATAATTAAATTTTATATATATGCATCTATATATATATGAACATAGTTAGTGGGTAATTATTCTATTCATTGAATAATTAATATTTATATTTACCTGAACCAAAGAATTGTTTGCATAGCTAATGTCTCCAATTCCTCCATTCATGTGAAGAACTTCAACAAGCTTCATATTTATTTATTTTTCTCTTGATTGATCTTCTTTTTTTTCTTTTTAAATGTGAGAAATCACCGTTTGCTTGATTTAGTCTATATAAATTTGTCACCTATTTATAGAGGAAAAAAAACTAGGATGCTGCTGTAGTTTTGTCCATTGAACTTAATTAATTCCAATATTAACCCTGACATTTATTAATTTATCTATATATAATATATGGATATGGAATAAGTGGTCCAATATTAAAGTTTGATATCAAGTTGTTAAACTTTTAGTTTTATTCTTCTGTACTAAATTATATACTTTTTCCTGAGATAATATTGATTTTTATGTAAATTTTAATAAACTATCATATGAGGATTTATGTGCTTACACACACACACACACACAAATTGGACTGATAGAAGCTTAAAATTAATCCATAAATTTTTTTCAACTTTTTTTAAAAAAAAATATTTTTTTATTGACACGTTATATATAATCATAATAAGAAAAAAGTTACTCCATTAGATATATAATTAAAAATTCCTACATTATTTATGAGAAATTAAAACCTTGTACAATATCTTGTGAATATTATATTTTCTGGAAATTAAATTATCTTTACTCCATAGTATGACTTTATGAGAAATTAAATTTAAGGTCTCTATATTTGGTGTGCATTTACTTTTATCATTTATTATGTCTGCAATGTTTATGCTTTTTTAAACGTGCTCATAATAATTTTCTTCACATATTTGCAATCTGCACCCTTAATTATACACTATTATAATTTATATCTTATTCTATATATTTTTAATATTTTTCACCGTAATCTTTTTAGTTTCTTGTAAAATCATAAAAATCTCCGTTCAATAACAACAAAAGGTGAAATAAAAAAGTAAAATTTCTCAAATGATATAAAATAAATATCATATTTACATATCTTTCTTAATATGTATATTTAAATTCTAGTTGACTACGCTTTTATTTGGTCATAAAATTAAAACTTGAAAATTTGAATTTTAAAATTATAATTTTTGAAACTTAAAGTTACGGGAAGTCCTGTCTTGTATCAAAGCATTACCTCATGGTCTATGGTTTATTGGCTCTCAATATCTCACAAGTCATAATAAACAATTACAACCTAAATTCTATCATACACTCGCAAACTTATTCACTATCTCACAAGTTAATTTCTCATATGGTCATTAAATAAATAATTTTTATTATAAAAAAGTTATTTTATTTTATAACACAAATATCACTTAATTAATGATAATTATCTCAGAAAATCACTTATTTTTATTTTATAACAAAAAAAATCATTCATCTATTGTAATTTCAGTTAGAAAATCACTCAACCAATTCAACCATTTATAGTTGACAATATTTTCCACACAAAAGGAAAACAATTAACACACAAAAGTAATGTAAGTTATTTAATTTTACTTTATACCACAAATATCACTAAATATACATGTGCTTGCTCTACAATGAGCCAAGCAAACAACAACCTTGAAATTGTACAACAACATTGAAATTGTACTATACCAAACAACAATCTTATTGACAAGTACTTTTCTACTACTCATTTTGACTCAAGCAAATTTTGAGGAGTTATTGATGTAATCATTTTATCCAATAAAAAAATAGCATAACTCGAATATTTGATAACTTCATTAATTACTTTAAGGAAGGTATCTCATAAAAATTGAAAAGTCATTAAAACTTAAACAACATTGCTGTCCATGACATAACAAGTAACATAATTAAGAACAAAAATTTATAGTAAATAATTGTTTTTTGGGCCCAGCGATACAAGAGCATTTTCCAAGTATGAAATCACGAAGCCGGCCTAAAAAGTGGGTGAGACTCGTCAATCTCCATTGTACGCTAGGGAGTTAGACTATGCTTAGTTCTAATTTATGATGTTTGCATTGTGTGAGTTCTAGCTAGGAAGCAAGCGCCGCAAAGGGTTGATGGGGCAGCTCGACTGGTAAAAAAGGAGATGGTACATACTAAACTATATATTACAAAAAAAATGATGTAGTCGCCAAATTAAGAGACCAAACATTATATTGCATCATCCTCTTCAGACTCGACTTCTTCTTCCTTCTTAGTGTCTACAGTATCAACGATACCTTGTGAAGTTGCAGCAGAATCAACAACCACAACAATTGCAACCGCAAACTTACTAGGATCCTACAATAGTTTTTAACAAAAAAAAAAAAAGAGTCAACATTAATGGAACAAATACTAAAAGGAAAAAGAAAAAAATTAAGGATTAATAATTAGTTATATGATAAATTTAGTAAAGGATTAAACTGCAATTACATGTTAAAATATGCCCTACAATGTTAGGGTATCGTATTACAAGATTATGGAAACATTCTAACACTCTCATATTTAGATGGTAAATTGAACACAAAATTTTGAAAATAATGGAGTGAGAATAGTACCTTAATTATGTAACAAGACAAGATTATAAAGATTAAAAAGTAAATCTATTTATTAAAAAATAATAAAAGAGAACAAGACTACAACAATAACATATTCAGTGAAATCACACAAGTGGAATCCGGGAAGAGTCATATGTGTACACAAACTAATATCTACCTTATAAGAATAGAGAAATTGTTTCCAATCGATCTTCACCACTTAAGTAAAACATATCAAAACAAGCTAAGTAGAAAAAAATACCAATAACAACAATAATCACCATACATTTCCTACCGATATCAAGTCCGTAAAAAGAACCAAATTTTCATTAGCAATATTTATAAAAGAAAAAGTGAAATTATGAAAACGATTTATATATTCTCAAAGTAGCACTTATGGGTGTAATTTAAATTGATTGAATATCGTAATAATATATATTAAACACCAAATCAGAAACAAAACAAAGAAAAATTATAGAGCACAATTTGAACACACGAGACTAAAATTAGCACCTCTTCATACTCGGCTTCTTCTTCCTTCTTAGTGTCTTTAGTCTCAACGATACCTTGTGAAGTTGAGGTAGACTCAACAACGGGTTAATACCTCAGATGGTCACTCAACTATCCACTTTTGCCTTTGAAAGTCACTCAACTTTTAATTTTCACTAAAAAATCACCACGTGAGTGACTTTCTAACGAAAGACTGGATAGTTGAGTGACCATCTGAGGTATTAACCCCTCAACAACCGAAGCAATTGCAACCGCAAACTTACTAGGATCCTACAATAGTTTTAAGAAGAAAAAAAGAGTCAAAATTAATAGAACAACTAATAAAAGGAAAAGGAAAAAGAAATTAAGGATTAATAAATATATGATAAAAATAATAAAGAATTAAAGACACTGTTAGAATATTATAGTAATTAAAATATTATGGAGAAATTATAACTCTCTAATTCATAATTAGATAGTAAATTAAAAACAAAAATTTGAAAATAATGGAGTGAGAATAGTACCTTATTATGTAACAAGACAAGATTATAAAGATTAAATTATGAAAGAGAACTACTACTGCAATAACAATAATAACATATTAAGTGAAATATACGGATGTGAAAAGAGTGGTATGCGTATATACACTAATCCCTACCTAATAAAAGTGGAGAAATAGTCTTCAATAATTAAAGCCTCATCTCAATAAAAGCATATCAAGTAGGAAAAAAAATACGACAACAAGATTGTATACTACAAACAATATATGATTACCATTTATTTTAAGTTAGATGTATTTATAAAACTCTCGAAAAAAACATAACAAGGTCACTTGTGAGATAATTCTTTGTAACTTCGATTCCTTACACATGCTATAATACTGTCAGTGTATATACTATCAAAATATATATTATTACCATTTGTTTTAAGTTAGATGTACTTATAAAACTCGTGAAATAGCAAAACAAGGTCACTTATGAGATAATTCTTCGTAACTTCTATTCCAAACACATGCTATAATAATATCAATGTACATAACAAGGTCACTAATTCTTCGTAATAACTTCAATTGCTAAAACATGCTATAATACCATCAATGTACATAACAAGGTCACCAATTCTTCGTAATAACTTCAATTGTTAACACATGCTATAATACTATTAAAATTATAATTTTTGAAACTTAAAGTCATGTGAAGTCCTATCTTGTATCAAAGCATTACCTCATGGCCCATGGTTTATTGGCTCTCAATATCTCACAAGTCATAATAGACAATTAGAACCTAAATTCTATCATGTCGATACATCTATACACTCGCAAACTATTCACGAGTTAATTTCTCATATGATCATTAAATAAATAAATTTATCATAAAAAAGAATTATTTTATTTTATAACACAAATATCACTGAACTTTATTTTATAACAAAAAAAAATCATTCATTTATTTCAATTTCAGTTACAAAATCACTCAACCATTTATAGTTGACAAAATTTTCCACACAAAAGGAAAACAAGTAACACACACAAGTAATGTAAATTATTTAATTTTATTTTATAACACAAATATCACTACATCACTATATACATGTGCTTGCTCTAAATGAGCCAAGCAAACAACAACCTTGAAATTGTACTATACCAAACAACAACCTTAGTGGCAAGTACTTTTCTGACTATTCATTTTGACTCAAGCAAATTTTGAAGAGTTAGTGATATTTTTTATTTGCATTAATTGTTGAACACCGTGATGAGACATGTGATGATTTTTGATATTGATGTCTTTACCGACGAGTGATATTACATGGAGGTCATTTGATGCAATCGTTTTATCCTACAAAAAATTAGCATAACTCGAATATTTGATACCTTCAATTACTTTAAGGAAGGTATCTCATAAAAATTGAAAAGACATTAAAACTTAAACAACATTGTTGTCCATAACATAACAAGTAACATAATTAAGAACAAAAATACATACTAGTAAATAATCGTTTTTTGATACTAAACTATATATTACAAAAAATTGATGTAGTCGCCAAATTAAGAGACCAAACATTGCATCATCCTCTTCAGACTCGACTTCTTCTTCCTTCTTAGTGTCTACGGTCTCAACGATACCTTGTGAAGTTGCAGCAGACTCAACAACCACAACAAT